TGGACTTTGGAGAAGCTGAAAAATCTAGCACACAACAGATGACGTAGAGTTTCCAGCGATGATGATGGGTTGCAGAGAACCAGGGGCAGTAGTCTTTGAATAAGTGCATTGTATATCAAATTCCACCGTAAGTCAAGATCGCCATGAAAAACTTGCGTGTGACAGGATTGCAGAGGTACAATTTGTTCTCAATATTGCTCATGCTTTGAAACAGGAGTAAGCCATCACAAGAGGACATAATTTCATCTTTCAAAAGAATTGCTGGCCACAATGCCGCTGGGCACCCGGCTGCGGTCCAGAACTTGAAATCTAGCGTATAAAGGATGCGGGAAACAACCTGTCGTAATGTGGATCAAAGATACGCATTATGCTTAGAGAGGCCGCTGGACAGTTGGAGATACGCGCTCCAAAAGCTTGCCTGTTAGACAAAAGGAAAAAGACAGCCGCTGGGAATGATGTTAGGAATATGATGATGATGAGAAGCTAAGTTTTCGGACTGGGAGAGAAGGTTCAGGAGCAAGCATTGCCACATGACATCTTGTTGAAGCTGAAAGAGGTGAGAAAAATAAAAGTATGGCAGGTGTTAAAGTTGACAAAGGAATTAGGGAATTAAATATGGAGCAGCTCTGTAAGAGGGAAAAACTAACTTGTTGAAGCATTTAGTATCTCTGCTGCTGTTATGGCCAGGCAATACCAATTGTCGGTTGCCCTGCAGTATTCCTTGTCGGACCAATACGTCTCATCCAAAACTTGGTCCTTTGGCAATATAGGAATCATAACAACTGCAGCCACAGACCCAAAGACGACACAACCACAACTCTCTTCATTCTTGCTTCTGAATGCGCCTTTAGTACATTTAGCGTGTCTGTTACTGCTGGTTCAATCAAGCCTACCTCTGGATTTGGTACGGTACTTGACGGAACTGGGCATGCAACATGGAAGACTCCCCTGCATCCTGAAATTGCATTGCGAAGAGAGTCATAGTTTAGCAAGTCTGCTGGGAAAAGTTTCAGATTTTCTGCTGCTTTCTCAAGCTTTTTCAGGTGAGCGGTTGTTCAAGATCAGACTAAACAATATAGGCTCGGCGCAGCCTATATTGAAATAGCGGTTCCATGTACTCTCTATTTTGAGATTTTTAAATGAAATAAGCTCCGAGATAAAGAAACAATCAGCAACTGTAAAGTAGTGTATGCCACTAGATAGAAGTTATCAACACTCTTTAATATGATCTGTTTGCTTGAAACTTAGAAACATTGTTGGCAGGAGAAATAATAAATAGCAGAATAACGTAGATCCCCATATTTGAAATGGTGTTGTAATGCCTTCCAAGGCAGTTTGGCGTGGATTAGCAAGCTTACATCACCAATGAACTTGTACAATTAGCTTCATTAAGAAAATAAGTATATCATTAGAGCGAGAGATAGGAGGACAAGTCGGGGGTTTGGCTTTAGGCTAGCTTGACGAGGAAAAACTGATTGATGCACCGGCAGCTGGTCAATCTTTCTATCATGGCCATTGGACTGTATAGTCTGTATTGATGGAGAATGCCTAGTAGAAGATTCTGCTGTCAGCTAAGTCCACCAAGGACTGGGCATTGCCACTGCCACTGGAGTCTACCAGAGACTGGGCACAACCACTGCCGCTGGAATCTGCCAGGGACTGGGCATAACCACTGCCTTTGGAGTGTGCCAGGGATTGGGCATTACCTCTGCCGCTGGAACTTGGGGGCTGCCTAGTGCGGAAATTTGTTGAAGCTAGAGAAGGAGATTTTTACCTCTACCTCTTGGACAGTACAAATCGATGCAATGAGATTCGAAAGATCTGAAATTCCTTGCTTTAAGAGATGATTCATTGGTTTTGTAGATTTGTAGAGAGAGAATCGAATGAAGCTTTGAGAATGAATTTAACTATAAAGAAGAATTTAGTTGAATAAAAAAAAAAAATTAGGTCTTGAGAGGATGGATGGTGATGAAGACCAAGGGCTCTTTCTGCCATAACTAGGAAACCTTTGGTAGTCAGACAACTCGATTTTACGAGACAAATCACCAAGCAGTCCTGTGGTCAGTGATGATTCTCTGTGTTTTTCCATTAAATACGTTGAAAACACCTGTAGCTTTCATGAATATTAGACCAAACAAAGTTTAGTGGGTCCATTCCCTAATTATTTGAATTCCATTGATAAAGAAACGATGCTCTAGGAATCAATTGAATAAACAAAATCCTAATGCTTCGATGAAAGGTGAATTCAAGCAACAAACAAACTTTTTTGATATTGTTTTGTAAGTGAGAAATATCCCCTCAGTCGGCGCCGAAGTGTTTCAGCAAAATTCTACACCAAGGTGATATAAAATCAAGCTAAAACCCCTAATGCTTTGATAATGGATGTTTGAAGAAGATGAAGAAGGGGAAGGTTTTGATTGTTGGTAATGGCTGCACTAAGTTGTTTCTTAGTTGCCTAAGTATCCATAAGAGAGATGGAATCAAGCCTTTTATAACGTAGTTAAGAGAAAATATTGATTAGGGTTAGGATATGATCCAATGAACCCTAATATATTGTAGTGTTGTAGTCCCTTGTATGTAGACCAAATAGTGATTAATTGATGTATCTCATATATCTTGGAGACATGAGTTGTAGAGATATATGACTTCTTGTTGAATTAGGTTAAATGGAATCTCTACAAAGATGTAGGTTTACCAAATTAACCTTATTGAGTTGATGGACTTTAAATAAGAAAAGTCCATGATTGGTATTGAATGTAAGAACGGGCCTAAGCCCATAATTGATATTGAAGTGGGTTTGGGCCTGTATTAGACATTATATTAGACTTGGACCATTGTTTGGGCCCTTTAGGGAAGGTCCACACACATATCATAAGCAAAAACAACAGTTCTAGATAAGTGATATTTAGCAACCTAAGTGGACTACCTTTTTCGGGAAAACTTAATTCATATAGGGACAACCAAACATGTCAAGGTCAGTTTGGTGGTTTTTAGTTAAATGTCATTTTTCAGGTGCAGGAATAGTTGTTTTGAAAGCAACTATGTTTTATAGCGACTATGACTTTTGGTTTTGGCAATCTCTTTTCTTTATACTATTTCTTTCATCATAAGCTTTCGCTTGGGCACTACAAACTTGATTTACTTTTCAAGTCGACGCTTCACAACCCAAATATCAGGTATTCCTTTCTGTTAAACTTTCTTTTTTATTTGTAACATTGCAAATATATGGGCAGGCTGAGGAAATAGTAGATGGAAAACAGAATTTTGAAGAGACATAGTGAATAGAGTAGAAATCTGCATTCAACAAAAGATTCCCTACCAATGCTACTTGATAATTTCTTCCTTCCTTTACTCTATTAGTCACTTGCATGCTATGCAGCGGGAAAACCTAGGGTACTTCAACAATTTTAGAAATTATATGTTTCACTGGATACTATGAATGGATACTATGAAGTATATTCTAGGAAAACCTAATCTTATTCTTATAGGGACAACCGGACATGTCAAGGTCAGTTGGTGGTTTTTATTTAAATGTCATTATTCAAGTGCAAAGGTTTAGCTTGGACACTACTAACTTGATTCAATTTTGTTATGTCAACTCTTCACACCCAGAATTCATGTATTCACTTTGTTAAACTTTATTTTTTGTTTGTGATATTGCAGGCAACCTAAGGAAAAGTAGATGGAAACAGTAATTTTCATAGAGACATGGTGAATAATGTAGAAATCTGCATGCAACTAAAGAACTCCATGAGTAATTCCCTACCAATGCTACTTGATTATATACAATTAATTTGTATTGAATATACTCCATTTCTTAAATAGGGACTTCAAAATTTTAGTATTAAATAAGTTTTTATTGATAAATTAAAGCTTAGTGGAATTATATAGGACCTCAAAGTCATGTGCGTTAAGAATAAATTTGACATTTCATATAGTATGCATAACAAGCTGGAGTAGCTCAGTTGGTTGGAGAGTGTGGCTTTTAAAGTGCAAGGTCGAAGGTTCAAGTCCTTCGTCCATTATTTTTTATCATTTACTTTGTGACATTTTACATTATGGATGCATAACAGTGTCACATTTACTATGCACTAAGACTTTGTCGATAATGTTTAGAAATTTTTTGTTTGGAGCTATATGAGCAGTAAGAATTTTGAGATATAAATATGCCACTTAACCAATAATATGTACACGTAATTAATGAATAAAAAGGTATTGTGGAATTAAAGAAGAATAGCTGAGAATTATTATGATGCTTCAAGGACCCTTCGTTATCAATATCATAAACATATTATAAAGGTATAAATTTTGGTATTATGTTATTCCTATATGAAATGGACTTTGGCATTCTATCTGACATCACATGTTTTCTTTAAGACATTGACTTGACCGTGTGATGAAGATTGACATGTGATACACTTGACTCATCTAGGTGTGTAAAGTTATTTTCAATCATTTACCTTAATATCGATCACTACAAGAAAAATGGGTTTCCCTAACGGATGTATCATATTTTTGCCAACAGACATTGTCTGTACAAATTAAGTTACAGTCATGGGCCGTAGGTAAAAGGGTTCACAACCGTCGGTAAATTTTAATTGTAGGTGTTAAAAAGTTGGGTTTTATAGGTACGGATTTGTTAGAGATAAAATCCGTCGATATGATGCACACTTTCAAGAAGATAATTTCAATTGACAAAAACCATTGGGAATACTAATCTCATTAGCGCTAAACTAGAACCCTATACCGCGAAACAAAACCCATCTCTCTCTCTCTCTCTTCCCCTCATTTTTGTTTTCATGTATTGATTTGATACCCACCAATCTCTCTCTCTCATTCACAGAATCTCCCTCTCTCACTTTCTCTATCAAACAATTGCAAATTCTCTATCTAATAGAAATTAAATTGACAGATTCACAGGTTCTTCGCAGAAGCAATTTTCCCAAATTGGATTTAAGAAGCGATTTTCTCAAATTCTCTAAGGTAAACAAATTTTTTTCTCTCGGTCTCTCTATCTCAATCTCTCTATCTTAATAAGTTTCCCAAATTCTGTCTCAAAATCTCTATCTTAAATCCAATTTACCCAAATTGGATTTTAAAAGCTTCCCATGTTTGCTTTATTAGTTCTTTGATTTATTTGTTATTTGAATAGGAAATCTGTTTATACCTCTTTCTCATCGATTCTCTAATTGGAATTCAAGTTATTTTTTTATCCATCTTCTTATTCTACACCCAATCATCAATTCATCTCTTTCTCGTTGATTCTGAATTGAGTTCTAGTTATCTATTTTCTTTTTGGTTCCATTGAGAAGAGGTTTTCGATGATTTCTATTTCTATTATGTTTTGTTGATTTTGGTGTTCTTCTGAAACCATTATGTTTTTTTTTTT